TAATTCAAATGAGAATAAATTATCATGTTGCAGGAGAGTGTATCTGGCATGTCCCCTGTACCTGAGCCAATGCAGAGCAGAAAGGGAGAACCGGGGGGTAATGATGAGGAAGAGCTAAATCCTCCCTCAGGCTTGGCACTAGGACAGGCAGTGTCATCAAGTGATGATGAACATGATGCAAATGACACAGAGAATGAAACCCACAACGGATATATTCCCTTACCTCAATATAATGATGTGGTAAGTTAAAATAATTTTCTGTATTTGAAAATCTTTAGATATTTTGTTGTATCTATGTTTATGGTTACAAGCGTGATAGACTGTACTGGCTCAGTATTCAATGAAGTTTCTCATAATTGTAACAGGATGAGGAGGAGAATGAAGGTGAAATTGATTACTCTTCTCTCTCTGGTCTAATGTCTGCTTTGGCCACACATGGACCTAATGTTGTGGATGATGCTGAGGAAGAGGAGAGCAGTGATGTGAAACATGAAGAAGTAGAAGGTGCAGTAGGTATTGCTTCCAACATTTCCACAAGCACATCAACGCTGGCAGAAGAGGTCAGTTAAAAGAATATTATAGAATTAGGTATATACAACCTATTAGTATCTTAGAAAGTTGATAGGAATTTAAAAGAGACAGTATATTATATGCCTTTAATGAGAAATTTCAGATTTGAACAAGAAAAGATTGATTATTACTTAATGATATACTATTAGTTAACCAGGAAAGCTGACATTTTTCCAGAAGGAGATATAAAATCTTTAATTGATTTTCATTTATAGTTCTCATTCCTTGTGATAGAATCATAATTATCTGTTTTAGGCTGAACAGCAAAGAAAAAATGAAATAGCTTTGGAGCAAGCCACAGTATGGAACTCCCCAGCCCCTGAGCGGCTGAGTTTGGATGGAAATAAAGTAGAGGAAATTAAGTCAGTGATGGCCTCCTTCAGTCTTCCACAGTCTGCAATTCCTCCCTGGGCCAAGGACCTATCAGAAGAAGACTGGAAAAATCAGGTTGCCTGCCTTATATCTAACAAAAAAGCCCTATAATTTTTAGTGTTATGAATACTCTTAATGTTGATATATTTAGGCCTTTGAATTGGTCTGGAACATTGTGATATTAAAGTGTTAATCAGTTGTATTACTGTTATGCAAATGTGATTACACACACACACACACACACACACACACACACACACACACACACACACACACACACACACACACACACACACACACACACACACACACACACACACACACACACACACACACACACACATATTATATATATTATATATATTATATATATTATATATATTATATATTATATATTATATTATATATATATTATATATATATTATATATTATATATATATGTAATATATATATGTAATATATATATGTAATATATATATAATATATATATAATATATATATAATATATATATAATATATATATATATAATATATATATATAATATATATATATATATATATATATATATATATATATATATATATATATATATATATATATATATATATACATATATACATATATATATATATATATATATATATATATATATATATATATATATATATATATATATATATATATTTATATTTATATATATTATATAATTCAATCATTTCTGTCCATGTGATACTCTGAAAACTGTCATGTTCATATTTTATGAAGGTATTCATGATATGTATATATATTGTATGTACTTAGAAAATGTTTTTTAGATATTTAGATCAAATATGAAATCAGTGAGTTACATATAATAGCTTTTGAGACAAGAAAGTAATATCTTTTATCAGATTTTCCTTTTCTTATTGATAGTGCTTTCAAGTGGATCATAATAGTTCTGTATCTTAAGAAAAAAAAAAAAGTTCTTCCTTGCTCTGATATATTATTTTAAACATTTTTGAATAAAGAATTTAATTTAATTGTTTAGTAAAACCTAAGCCAACTTGTATAATGGAGCATATTTGTCTGTTTTTCCTAGAAAGCTTTACTAATGGTTTACTTTCGGTGTATGAATTAATAAATATTCTTGAAGGCATACAAAGAAATTAGCTATAAAGATAGCACAACAACAGTAGTCAGATAGCCAGCAATACCTCAACACAGTTCAGATATCCGAATTTGTGATTTGTTGTTTTGAAGTGATGATTTCTATTTTCATGTGTAAACAGTTTCTATTTATTTTTTCAGTGATTTTCTAGATGGAATAAGGTTAAAAGAAGTTAAGAAAATATAATTATGGCCACTTTCAACAACTGCTATTCAAATAAATATACAATAAAAGGAATAAGTGGGTAATTCACCTTTGTAAAAGCTGGACAGCTATAGGAATCAGAATGGATGACTATAGTTCCTTGAGGTAGATATGGCAGAATAACCTAGCCAAGTGAGGTAACCTAAGTGAATTTGTAGTAGGGCCTAGGTAAGTTAATTGAGGACATCGTAGAAGCCTGGTAAGACGCAGGTAACTAAGTTGGAAGCAGTGTATGAGAAAATTGGCTTAGGATTGGAGTAACTACATAGATGTGGTAAGACAAGTAACAACTGGGCACCTCACCACATAAGACTGACAAACAAGTTCCAAGACATGTTCACTGTTAATTACTGCATATTAGGCATCTGTGAATGGTTTAAACACTTGTTTATATTATACAAATAGAAAAAAAGATAAATGAAATAAGGCGTTGTACTGTTCTGGAATTATGTGAAGACCATGCCAAGGTTGCCTCACCTTTTTCACTGAGATTCACTGCCAGGAAGGAGGAGTCACTTGAAATGCCATACTTAAAGTAGCACAATAGATTTCATACTTACACCTTGCCATTTTATTGTTCCACTTTGTATGAAGTACTTAAGAGGTTGAATAAGAGGTGGAGGATGTCATTATCTTTTATGAATGAGCCAGATGTTTTCATTAGGGGATGGATTTTTTTAATTGAAGGAAGAGGCAGGCCTTTTCCTGTAAGTTTTGTATCTCACTTATATCCATTTATGGTTGGATCTGCAGTGAATGAGTACTTTTCATGAAAGTACATATAAAGCAGCTCACATGTAATGAATTCTTAAACATTACTATTCTTGTGCTCTTAAAACCCTCTCAAGTGTGTGCGATTGTGTTCACCTCCCAATAAGGAAGAATTGAAAATCATAAAAAGGGAAACAGCCATAACTTACATTTTGCCTCTATACTCTTATTCAGTTCCTGTTTAGTCTGTTGTATTATGTTTCTCTATATATATATTTGTTTTAAAATATTAATAAACTGCTTTATGAAGAAAATAGTGTATTTCCCACCATGTAAACTTTTTAAGAAATCATAAGCATAACAGTGTCTTCTACTGACAAGCTTAAGAAAGGCAATATTATCATGTGTTAACTGTATGTGTAACTGAAGTATGTAACAATGTGTTATACTTACATCAAGGATGAGCATCTTATCTGGATATTTGATTAGAATAAATAATAAATATTGCCATTAATATTTGATTTGCCTGTTCTTTGGGTCTCATAAGTTGGTTGTGAAAAAGGCATTGTAATGAGAAGTAATTCAAATTTATTTCGACCCAGTAGACTCAGGGATAAGCTGGCTGTTGAAGAGCAGTGTAATATATTTGTTTTTAAGATATTCTGATTATTAACCCACTGGTGTTGTATTGTCCACTAGTTTTGTTTTGTCACTTTTGTTTACACATAGATAGCTTGAACTGTCTATATTATTATTATTATTATTATAATTACTATTATTGTTATTAATATCATCATCGTCATCACAACATTAATACTAGTATGAGAGGAGCTTTTCTTTCTGAAAATTCAAGGAATGGGGTCAACAGGTAGCCCTAGTAATGGATTCCTTGGTGATTAAGCACTTCAGTGGAGCTATATATTTCTAAACGAAATTCATAAAGTCACATTTGAAAGTACACATATACAAGCATTCATATTAAAGGGTTGAAATTCCAATATATATGGATATATGGATGGAAATAATTTCAATGGTACTATATTGAGTTTCATTCAGTAAGGTGTGTAGAATTTTGCTTTAGCTTTATAATCTTTAGAATTTATATTCTGATTTGTGATGTAGATGTTTTTGTTATTTTGTGCTTTCTCTGTTTTATATATATATGTATATATATATATATATATATATATATATATATATATATATATATATATATATATATATATATATATATATATATATACACACACATACATACATATATACATACATATATATATACATATACATATACATATATACACATATATATATATATATATATTTGTGACCCTGGGTTTCACAACCACTGTTGTATTGTGAAGACAATATGCCTAATACTGATTTTATACTCCTCTAGGATATTAAACATGATTTTATGAATACAGGTAAACTGCTTGTTAGGTGTCTGAGGAGAATTCAGGCTATATGACAACCAGCCAGAGCAGTTGCAGTCACACAGCCTGTTGACAGCTGTGGGAATATGACACCAACAGTCTTTCCTGCCATTGGCCAATAAGAGTGCACTATTCAACTTACTTCACTCATTTAATCAGTAAGATACAAGTTGACAAATGCCTTTTAAGCATGAAAAGAGACCAAGAAGTTACAAGTCTACTCCTGTGAGTCATGTCAGACCAATTCAGACATTCAAAGGCATGCACTTTAATTACACACAGCAGAATATTAAGATATTTTTTATATTCAAATATTTCTAAATTTTTACACATTATACATACTGTACCTTTGTGTATATTGTACAGCGGTGTTCCTCAAACATTTGGATTTGAACCTGAACTGATTTAGTGAGGCCAGTCCAGTTGCTCCTTTAATTTGTAATCCGTAACATGAAAATACAATTGATTGATCCTTTTCTGAAAGTATTTACTCTCAGGCATAAATATTCTAATTAGGTTGTTGCAGCATTAATTATACCTCAGCATTATGTGCCATGA